CTTTTCAATAAATTTTAATTTAAAAATAGAATTTTTAGTATGATTATTCATTGCAATACTAACATTACTTAATTTACACTAGTATCTAAATAATAATAATAATTTATTGTAAAGAGAAAAAATGTACAATAAAATAATAATAACGCCCTTTAGGGCAAAGAGTACAGATATATAGAGTAAATACAGATAATATAAAGTTACCACTTAAATAAAGTAATTCCACTTACATTGACCACATTTCATTAAAAATTGTTCTACAGTTTAAATCTAACATTGATCGATTTCAGATGATCTTCAGGACTTGGATTTAAATTTACAAGCTTTGCCACCACCACTTCAACAAATGGGTGATCAAATTAATCCAGAAGAACGTGGACGAAGAAGGCGGGGACAAGGTAGAGCTCATATTCCTGAAAGTAAAATATTAATTACATAATCGTTAAAGGACGTCAAGTTAAATTAATACTTATTTTTAAGATGAACAAGGCCCGCAAAAAATGCGTGTAAGGGGTAGGATACATCCTAGAAGAGGGCAAAGAGCCAATAGAGGCAAGTCCCCAGAGGACTTGCTGCACAGGCAAGGGCAGAATTTTTTGCCCAACTATCAGAGGATGACGAAGGTACTCCAAAAATAATTAAATCAACATAAAATTAATAAAAATTTAGTTAACAAGATTCTATTTATTGATATTTACTTTGATTTTAGAGATACAGCCACAATTAGCACCAGTTCAAGAACCATTTCCAGAAAGTAAGAAAATTAATAAAATAAATTGATTAATATTTCTAAATTAATACTTATTTTTAAGATGAACAAGGCCCACAAAGAATGCGTGGAAGGGGTTGGATACATCCAATAGGGCAAAGAGCCAATAGAGGCAGGGGTACTTGCCCCAGAGGACTTGCTGCACAGGCATGGGCAGAATTTTTTGCCCAACTATCAGAGGATGACGAAGGTACTTCGAAAATAATTAAATCAACATAAAATTAGTAACAATTTAGTTAACAAGATTATATTTATTGATATTTACTTTGATTTTAGAGATACAGCCACAATTACCACCGGTTCAAGAACCAATTCCAGAAAGTAAATAAAATAAATAGATTAATATTTTAAGTAATTTATGTATATCATATATAGATATTGCTGAAATCTGCATCATTTGCATGGATGAAGAGGTATCTGTGATATTGATACCTTGTAGGCATACATTTTGTCTCATTTGTGTACTGCGCCTTCAACGAGATGCTATACAATTTATTGTTTGTCCCTTATGCAGAGGAAATATTGACTCATGGGAAAATATGTAATTTTAATTTTAATTATGGTTTTATTTAAAAGTTTTTGTTTTTAACCCTTTCGCTCCCAATGCACATTACAATGAATATAGTTGTGATTTATTTGTTCCGTGCGCATTCAATATTTATGATAATAGTATAGATTGATAAGAAAACATATGTTTAATATTAAAACAAAACATTTTAAGCCGTTAAAATTTGATAAAACTATTTTTTTTATTATTTTGTTGAGAAAAATCTGTGTTTGACAAAAATTGATAATTTTTTTCAGTTTTTTGATTATCTAATCTCTTTGGCTAACCGCTAAAATGTTTAAACTTATTATTCATATCAAATAGTTGATAAAGAATAATATTTTTTAAACCATTGTCCATTGTTACATACCATCAACCGTTAAAATCGCGGGAAACATGTGTACATTATAATGTGCATTGGTTAACAACAGATATTGTATTATGATAATAAACATAATATTATTTATATGTTATCACTAAAACAATTAAAAAAGCTAATTTGTTTTTTTAATTTCGTAAATTATTTTTTTACAAAATTAAAATGGCCAAAAGGGCAATATTATTTGATGAAGAATTGCTCGCAATTCTTAACGATGGACGAGATTCTGATCTGTCATCGTTATCAAGTGGCAGCTGTACTGAGGAACGTTTTCCGGAAAACGAATTTCAGCACCTGCTCAATGAGGTCAATTATTATTAATTTTTAAAGTTTGATCTTATTTTATGAAGTAAATTAAATATACATTTTTAAAAGGTTAAATATTTTTAAGTTTTGTCATTTTTGGTTATGTTATTAAAGGTAATAAAAAGTTATTTTTAAAGTTTTCAAATGTTGTTAATAATATTTTGTTGTCATTCATAACAAAAGTATTTTAAAATGTGCAGTTTCCAATGTACTGATTTTTACCTAACCCTTGCACATTATAATGTGCAAAATAGATATGTTACTTTTCCCCAGTGCACATCGTAATGTGCATTCAAATATCGGTGGACCAGATTGTCTCAGAACATTAAAATTTGGTAGGTAGATCATTTTAGTTATAAAATAAAATAAAATTTAAGAAAAATATTTTTTTTTAAAAAAAAAATAATTCGGTAGTGAAAGGGTTAAAATATTAATTATATATTTGAGTTTTTGTTTTGTTTTGTTTTTTTTTTTTTAATTGAAAGTTGTTTTTATATTTATTATATTTATTTTAATTTTCTTAATTTTTATAGTTTATTGTTTAAGTTGTATGACTATTAAATTCTAATTTATGTAAAAGAAAGTATTTGTTTTTAATTGTAAGTTGTTTGAAAGATTTTGTTTTTATTTTTATGTTGAAAAGTATTTATTTAATTTTTTTAAATGTTTATAGTTTATTGTTTAAGTTGTGTGACTATTAAATTGTAATTGATATAAAAGAAAGTATTTCTTTTATTTTAATTGTAGGAAAATTATTAATTTAAACTAGTTTCTAAATATGTACATAATGCACTTAAAACAAACAAATTGAAAATTGAAAATCATACTGTAATCATTTGTGAGTCAAGGCGAATACTGACAATTTTAATATAATAAATTGGTTAAATTGGAGATATTGGTACTAAAACTATGTAAATGTGGGTTAGGATTTTCCCAAAAATTTTTTAAAAAATGCCTATGTGGCTCACTATTTACGTCTTACCTATTACAATAAGAGTCCAAGTTCTAAGCTAATAGCCTAACAATTGCACTAATAACTATTTACTATGCCTGTTGTAACCAATTTGTTCGTTATTTGGGTTGAACGTATAAGCATTAATATTTCCATCATCAGCTTTCCACTGGCGATTAATTTGCTGATTAGATGTAGTCGGTGCAGGAACTTGAACATTTGATGGAGAATCAACTGACATCTCGGAACCACTAATATGAGAAATATCTAAAATAAATAGAAACCAATGTAATTTTCTGTAACATATTATGTGATGAAATTATGAAAACATAAATACATACCAGAAAGTGTGTAAATTTCATTCATATTTACATCTTTATCCAGTAAATGTACCCCTGACAATGCATCATCTGTAATATATTATTTAATTCTTGATCAATAAATATTTTTCATAGACGACATAATAAGTATTATATTTATTTAAATAACATTACCATTTTCTTCGATATTATCTGATTCTGAATCCGCTTCATAATCTGGATCTTTATCCGAATAGTCATAATCAAAATCAGAATCCAACATTTCGTTGATTTCGTAGGGATTCATTATTATTATGCAATAAAAATTAAAATTATAAAACAAGAAAAAAATTCTAATAAGTAGTAGCTAGGATAGGTAAATACTAAATTACAAAATTATTGACGTTTACAATTTCTTATCATTGTTACATTATCAATGATTATGACAAAAAACATGATTTAAGTTATTTCTATATTATTTAATATAACATAAATTAATTTTGAACACGAAAAATCAGTAATAAAATATAACTTAAAAACAAAATATGTGTAAAACAAATTACTATAGAAAACAATTCATAAAACAAAAAATAAATAACATATTCCGTTGCTACAAGTACCAAAATGAAGTGGTCACACTGTAGAATTCGAATCCGTTGAAAAAATACTGATAAAAGAGTCCCATATCTGGCAATCACCTGTTAAATATACTGATAGTGTGAGACCCAAATTTGGTACTCACATAATTTACTTTTGTGTTTTGTTGAGACCCAAATTTGGGACTCATGGCCCAATTGAGTAACAAGTAGAAAACCCCTCGGCGCTCAACGTGTTAATAAATATTATTTATTTAGTTTACTATTATTATTTTATTTTTAATTAATTGTTTTCCAAAACGTTAAAATGCGTGGTATTACCCGAGTGGTGGGGTAATGCCACGCACGCTTGGGAGAATTCCGCGCAACGATTTTAACATGAAACCACATATGGTAACTATTATTAAAATAAAAAATAGAAAAAATGACTAAATAAATTAACTAATTGTTATAAAATCTTTCAAAACTATTTATTTTAAAATGATGTGGTATATTAAAATAAAACCTAATTCAAGTGTTGAATACTTTAACAATATAAAATAACAAAAACTTTTAAATCAAAAAATATGCAAAAAAAACTTAAACAGTTGAATAATAACCTTATAACAAATTAACATAAAATGTATTCCTTTTTTAAAATCTTAAAAGTGTATAATAAAAGTAAAAATAGGTAAATTAGAATAATATATAGTAATATGATAATATTAAAAAACTTAAACATACCTAATCTTTAAAACCTTTATATATAAAATGAAACATAATTTTTAAATTAAAAAATGTAGAACTTAATTAATAACTTAGTCTTTTAGTTTTAGATAGGAACTTATTGACAAAAATCACAAATATACGAAGCAGGTCTATCAGTTGATGTACATAACGCGTGTGCCCAAAGTCCACAATCTATACAACGATACCATACTTCATTGAGACCAAATTCTCCACAAACTACACATTTTTGTTGGAACTCATTTTAATCTGTTTCTTCATCACTTAGAATGGTGTTGAAGTTAAGCTGACGTTTACCATCACGTTTAATTTTATTTTATTTTACAGCCGTTATTTATTTTTATTTTTAGTTATATTGTGTTTATTCTTTAATTACTTTTACTTTATTTTGTTTAGAATTTTCTTGTTTCCTTACTAACTTTTCTTGTTTTATTCTTTTGCCGTTTCTCGTTTTTCTTTTGCTTGCTCCAATTCTAATTTCATAGGTGTGTCTGTCAACACGATGGGTTTACGTTTGCGTGATTTAGAACGTTTAGTCGATGTGGCATTTACTTTTGGTATTGGACATAACTGTTCAATACTTGTATGATAAATACCAGTTGATGTTGATGGGAGATCATTTATTTGAACTATTCCTTTTGTATCATGTATACTTGTTGATCCATCCTGTAAACTTCGAAAATTAAAGTCTTCTTCTTTTGCCTGTAATTCACGCTCCAAAGAAAAGTTTTCTTGTTCGTTCTCATTACCTTGCCAAGTGCAGAGTTGATTTTCAGAAATATCAAGTTCGTTTTCTAAATATTCAAAAGTAAACTCTTTTTCTACTTCACGTAATTCTTGTGCAGGTGCAAAGTCATCGGCTGTGAATTTATCAGTGTTCAATGGAAAAATACCGGCGCTATTAAATCCCGATAGCCCTTTGTCCATTGTAGCTACTTTTGTATAACTTTTATTAAAAAGTGAAGCCAAATCATACATCGTTATTTTTTCATGTGGATGGGCTTTTAAAAACAAGCCACATTCGCGATTAAAGGTAGTCTTAAGAGGTCCAAAAAAAGTTAAATCGAGTGGTTGTAATTTATGTGAAGTATGTGGTTGTAAAGTCGCAATACAAATACCATTTAATCTGCAAAAGTTATAAATTTCAATAGAAATATGACTGGTATGATTATCAAATATTAACATAACTGGATCCAGCGTTGTTGGTTTGACAACTTTAGCAAAGTGTTCCATCCATTTAAAAAATAGTTCAGTTGTTATCCATCCATTCTTTGAACACTCATATAAAGAACCAGCTGGACCACCTCTACCTAACAATTGACTAACTCTAGCCCTAGGGTATATAAACATAGGTAGGATAAATAAACCCACAGCATTCATACAACAAACAACTGTAACATTTTTGCAACGTTCCCAGCTGATCATTGACCCCACTTGCTTTTGGCCTTTTGGACCCAAAATCCTTTATGGTTTTTGAACAGTTGTAATTCCCGTTTCGTCAACATTAAAAATTCTAGTACATTTATCATTCAGTTTGAACTTGTCCATTGTTTCCTCTAGGTTTTTATAAAATAATCGTACATTAGTTTCATTTAATGATGAAACTCTGTTTAAACTGGTACCTTCTGGAGTGCGTAAACTTATTTCGGGATTTCTTTTTAGAAATAGTTCTAGCCAGTCATATCCAGCTGATTTTGTTAAGCTGCAAAATCTGTGTTCAATGCTATTTTCAACAACATATCCATAAGCAAGTCGTCTTAATTCAGTTGGTGTTAAACCATACAAGTATTTAGACAGTTTTAATACATGTTTCGTCAATTCTTTTTCAACCTCATAAGAAAATGTTGGTTTTCTACCAAGTTTAGGTTTACCATAATTTTGATTTTTAAGTCTACCTCGAAGTGTTGATTCTGCAATACCAAAAGTTCGACCAACATCACGAATTTTCCGACCTGAGTTAATGGCAAGTATAGCCGCTTGTAATTGTTCTGCTGTCCATTTTGCTTTTTCAGTCTTCCTAGTATATAGTCTTGGCATTTTAAAACTTGAAATATAAATAACAATTATTTATTTAACATGAATACCTAACAGATAAATATTTAATAAACAATATAGCCAAATAAGTAAAACTACGAATGGGGTAATACGGCGCATTACAAGTATGCGCTCCATTCCCCGACTAGGACGCGCAGCATTACCTCAATCGACTTTTGTTATATAATCAATATACAATGAAATGTGTAAAATAATATTATCTAGTTGTCGATATTTTAAATAAAGCTGAGAAAATTCTCTACAAAACTATATTTTATCACCTTAAAAAATAATTAATTACATATAACTTACCACGTTACGAAATCCAGTAGTTATATTTAGTTTTTTTTTGGAGATTAAAGACCGGCTTGATAACTCAGCACATATTGATAATATTGTTATAAATATTTTTTCTATTGATGAGACTAAACAGCTGATTATTTTAAGCCAATCACTGAATTTTAAAATGTACTGATTTTAAGATATCACACTGCGCGCAATTACCCAACGCTCGGTATTCCCCCACTTTCCCCTACGTGAAACAGCTTTTACAGGTAAAAATAATTTATATTTATTTCTAATTTTGGTTCCACGTATTGTTTACAATCATGAATTCCATTCAAGAATTGATTAAATTAAAATTTAAGTCCTTGTCGTTCGAAAAAAAAATTGAAATAAAATCACTGGGAATACCATTACCTACTCCGTTTAATTTAACCCAGGAATCAAAAAAAGGAAATAAAAATGATCAACGTCGTTTTAATACGGAACTATTCCACAAATATAAATGGCTATGTGGGTGTGAAACAACCGTCAAATTATTTTGTTTTCCCTGTGTTGTTTTGGTGGTGATTTGTCATGGAGTAAGACGGGTGTAGTAGATTTAATACATCTGTTATCTAAAATAAGCAAACACGAAAATTAATTTAAACAACTACAGAATGAAGCAAATTTAAAAATTTTGGGCACGGTAAATATTCGAAACCAAATCGATGCCGGTTATAAATTGGGAATAAAACGACATAACTAACAGGTTTCTAAAAATCGTGATATTTTAGAAAACATTTTAAATCGTGTTAAATTTTGTGGAAATTATGAACTTCCTTTGCGTGGGCACGATGAAAAAATTACATCAAAAAATCATGTTGTTTTTCGTGGTTTAATTGACCTTTGTTCAAACTTGGATCCAAATTTAAGAGATAATTTTCAAAATTCGGTGGTTTTCAAAGGAACATCCAAATTAATCCAAAATGAGTTACTGGATTGTATATAAACTGTTGCTAGAAACCAAATTTTAATGGAAATAAATAATTCAGATTTTGTTGCTATAATTGTTGATGAAACTACTGACGTTGCCAACACATTTCAATTAGCACTCATTTTTCGTTATGAAATTAATGGTAAGCCTGTTGAACGGTTTTGGGGCTATTCAAATCCAGAAGGTCATAATGCTGAGTCATTGACTGAAACTATTTTAAAACAAATTAATCCAATTCTAGAAAAAAAACCCTCAAAATTGAGCGCTGCAGTAATGAGTGGTCAGAATTCACGAGTTAACGTGAGAGTAAGAGAAACACATCCTTTTGCGAATTTTATTCATTGCTACGCACACCAATTAAATTTAATAATAACCCAAGCTACATCGCAAAATAACCATATTAAAATATTTTTTTCTAATTTATCTGAGATTCCAGTATTTTTTTCTAATTCTCCACAAAGAGTAACTGTTTTAGATGACATAGTGGGTAGTGGATTGCCTACAGCAGTTCAAACACGTTAGAATTTTAATATAAGAACGGTCAATACAGTTTATGAACAAAGAGAGTCATTAATTGAATGTATGGAAAAATTGTAAATATTTCCTTACAGAATAGCACCATTAATAACACAGCTTCGATGAGTTGGTCACAGGAAAACCACGGTCCACCACAAATGCCATCCACTCAACACGATGCACGTCGATTTTTGGAAATCTAAAGGTGACATATTATTGATTTTATTACATTTCTATGCATCAACGTGATGTGTAAAATAATTGTAAATACCCGTGTACTGAAACGCCATTGATGTTGTTCACAATTCCGCAGATAACGCAGAGTTTGACAATTTTGAAAAGTAGATATTATAAGTATAATAATAAGTAAAAAATAACTACTAAATAATAAGGATGGGATTTTCAACTCGTTGACATGAGTCAGTTCACTTGACTCAGTTCACTCCAATGAATTTACTCAGGGAGTCAACGCAGTGACTCCCGTTGACTCCCTAACCAACTCAGTGGGTCGACGCCCTTTAGCCAACTAGACAAACTCCAAGCTCAGTTCATTTCATGTTCACTCCAAGTTCAGTTCATTAAGAGGACGTGATGGGAAAAATAATTGTAAATACCCGTGTACTGAAACGCCATTGATGTTGTCCACAATTCCACAGATAACGCAGCGTTTGACCATTTTGAATAGTCTATATTATAAGTATGATAATAAGTAAAAAATAAATACTAAATAATATGAAAAACTAGTATATTATAATGACGGACCACGGTGTCAGTTTGTTATCAGCGGTGATGTATGACACTTGGGCGACTTGTGTGTTATTTTTAGAAATAATAGGTACACACCGGCTTACGTGATGTACATACAAAATAGAAAAATGCGAAAAATGACATAGGTACCCAGCTTTTTATTAACTGTTAACGCAAAATTCGAAGCGATAAAATGGTAACGCGCATGGTAACGCGCCGAAACGGCTAACGGACTTACATGTCTACACCTCTCACAGCTAATACGAATGCGGATACAAAAAACGTTATAGGTATTTAAAGTACATTTTGCGGTGTACGAATAAACATGAAACGCGCGGAAAACGATGTGTGTAGGTGGTGAAAATATGGTGGTTCGCTATACGCGCTTCCATGAATACACCTGTAGTTAATCTGAATATTAAATTATATAATAGGAAATATAAAATTTGTACTCACCGGTATGTGAAAAGCGCCCAATGCAGGATAACAAAGCACAAAGAAAAGCACCGAATAGTAAATAATACAACGTATAATGACTATCGAATTATTCGATAGTATTTCAAATATTTGATAGTTTTGAATCATTCACTATTTTACAAACTATTCATATCTGATAGTTTATATTTCGAATATTTTACGATTTTATCGTCTCTCACAAATCTATTATATGTTTGATAACAATATTACAATATTGTCAATATTAATTATTAAGTATTAACAATACACAAAATTTACAACTGCAAGTACTATAGGAAATATGTTCACCACTTTTTAAGTATTTATTTTAAAACCTAGAGATTGTATCACTTTAATACTTTTAAATTGTATTACTTTAAATTTTAATATGTAACAGTTATAACTTATAATTGTATTCTATAAATTGGTGTATTTACTACATTGAATTTTGATCATTTGCAGGTTAGGCTTTGGATTACAGTTTTTTTTAAGTCTGTACAATCATTATATACATTTATACTTTGATTGCTATACTGCAGGTAATTATTAGATCAATAAATAACTATGTAAACATATCTTACCTAACCCTATATCTTACAAATTTCCACCAAAACTATATAAGGTTCAAAATAAACCAAAATATTTAAAGTTCCAGTATTCATGGCTGTTAAGATTCCCTTGGTTGGTATACTCGATAAAAGAAAATTTTGTCGAATCTGTGTAGCTTTTTCTAAATCTAATGAAAATAACGGACAAAACTTAGGTGAATTAGTAAAAAAAATATGATAATTGGAGAAATGCAATTGTTGATTTCAAAGAACATTCCAACAAGGGTTATCATATAACGTGTGTGTTGTTCAGATCATTTTATTGATGTTATAAAAACATCCTGGGAAGTCTGAACGTGCAAAATAGAAACTGGAAGAGCTGAACAAATTAAAAAAAACCGAAAAAACATATCTCCAATAATTCAAACAGTAATTTTATGTGGTAGACAAAATATTCCGCTCAGAGGACATCGAAAGTCCGGCAAACTTATTGTTGATCCAGAAAATGACAAGTTAATCCAAAACCAGGGAAATTTTAGAGAAATATTAAGATATAGAGCCCAAGGAGATGACCATTTGAAATCATTTTTGGAAGCTGAAGGAACAATAAAATATACAAGTGCAACACTTGAAAATGAAATCATTGAATCCTGCGATAAAATTATTTTAAATAAATTTGTAACAAACATAAATTCCCAAAAATATTTTACAATACTTGCTGATGAAACGGCCGACATTAGTGGAATTGAACAAGTATCTTTACGTGCACGATATTTAGATGTTGAAAATATGATTATCAAGGAAGAATTTCTTCAGTTTGTGCCTATGACAGATACTACTGGAAAAGGTTTAGCCGATATTATTATACAAAGTTTACATTCGTTTGGTATAGAACAAAATACCTAAGAGGGCAGGGTTACGATGGATGTCACCCTATTGGGTGATGCTTATATGGACAAATATTTTTTTTTCTTCAATTTGTTTAAGGGCACCTCGTAATTATTTTATACCTACCTAGGAGATACTATTACAAGTGAAATTTTTTTTTTTTTACCAGGAATCGAAAATTGATAAATTTCGAAAAAAAATTAATTGTTTGTATATTTTATTATCTAGTATAATTTTCACATATAAGGTAGGTATTATTATTTTAATTAGCTATGTTATAATTACATTCTACAAGTATTTACATTATTATAATATTAAAGTTTACTTTTTTCTGTCCGGATATTTTTGCCTAAACTGTTTTATTAGTAACAAAAGGAACTGTTTTTGTTCTTCATTTGTGGTGTGTAATTTGTTATATTCCTCCATCAAAGCCACTCCTCTCTCTGCAATATCGTTGACAACTCTCATCGTCTGAACTCGACTGATCGCTTTACTTTTTTTATAATCTTCGTCTTCATCCCAATGGTCGACATCTTCATTAAAAAACTGAGAAGAAATTCCTAATATGTCAAAGAATTTTCGAGTGTTGTCGGTTACGAAATCTTCTAAGTTTTTTCTTAAAACAATATTGGGTTCCAAACTTATGCGTTTCACTGGGTGCTCCGTTCCTTCATTTTGCATAGCAACCACCATGTTTCTTTTTGTTTCGGAAGAAACATTTTCGTCAAAAAAGGTGAATGCGATCAGTTCTTCTGATAAGTACCAAAGATGGCCAAGGAATTTCTTCATGACTTTTTTAGAAATCATTACATTTACTTCTTCGTATTTCTTTAAGTCTTTTAATAGTTGTAGGTCATTTCTAGCTGGGTAAATCGCTGTAACAGCTTGAAACCAATATTTTATGTATATTCTTACAGTAAAAATACAAATGTCACAAATTCCTACATATTCTTTTTTCGTCAGCTTAAATTGTCCTCTAAATAAATATATTTTTAAGGAATATATGGCTTTTGCCATCCATCGAGCACGATGAAGCCCACCAGGGGATCTATAAGATATACCTTTTTTTAGGAACTCCCCTCCAAGAAAATAATACAAAGGTTTAATAATTCTTTATAATCATCTCTTAGTTGAAACTCCTCTAGTTGTTTTGAAGCAAAAATGATCACATCTCTAGAAATATTTTCCATTTCATTCAAAGTAGAAGCATCGGATATGACAGTTTCAAAATGTTCAGACTGAATTGTACTCCAAGATTTTTAAATCTTTTAAACAATAATATAATTGGTCCCGATGAACACCCAATAGCATGAACAACAACTGCTTCTAACATGATCTCCATGATATGATGATGACAGGCCAACCATAACATATCTTTGTCCATATTTTGCTCAAGTAGAATACATGCCCCATTTCTCAGCCCAGTATTTACTGCAGTAGTGTCAAAGCTCATACATTTAATTTTATCACAAAGTCCCCAGGATGATGTAGTTTCATATACTGCCAAAGATATTGATTGCCCTGTTCCGGATATTAGTTTTGGAATAGCAAGAAGTTGGCCAACACTTTTACCAGATACTAAAATTGGAAGACGGTCTACAGTTTCATGTCCAATTATATCCTCGATAATTTTTCCATCCCATTGAATAGTAAGTGGAACTTCTGGTGTAAAGACATTCTTCACAGATTCAGCTATCTCTTGTCTATACTGTATACGTTGACGACGAATAGATGAAGTGTTAACATTGTATTCTAATGGATCATTGCCAAGTCGCTTAATAGTATTTGTCAGTACTACTGCTGCTTTTCGATCACTTAATTTTGCAACATCGAGACTAACAGCCAAATTCCTGTCAAGAAGGTTTTTTTCTACCTCTCTTTTTCGGTGGTGATTTATAAATTGAGGATTCGTCAACAGTAGGAGTATTTCCGTCAGATAAGTCACTATCATCTTCACTGCAGGAAGATAAAAACATGTAGGATTGTCCAGTAAGTGATTTAATTTTTTCGTCTTTTTTCATCCGCCTTTTTTTAATATTATAATTTTTCTTCTTAATCTCAACTTCCTTTTTTGCGAGTTTTCTATCAATATTTCCAATTTTACCTGGACGTCCTTCTTTCCGTTGCAAAAGTAGAAATTGTTTATCTTCCTCAATACCAATTATATTTAAGGCATGAGCATGGGCTATATCAAAGAGTTCATCGAAAGTCTTCTGAAAATTGTTCTCTTTTTTCTTTTAACCCTTCGGATCGCTTTGTTTTATTTTCTTTATTTTTTTTAAGTTTTTGCCATTCATTAAATATGATTTCTATTTTATTTATAATATGTTTCTGAAGCCTTGTGGGTATTCTAGCCTTATCCCAAAT